GCCCCTCCCTTATTCATTCTTAAATCGCTGCTAGAGGTGAAGCTCTGGAGGGGCGGCCGCCTGAGGACGGTGATGGAGAGTGAGCAAGAAAAATAAATGAACGGTGAATTTACATTGAAGTACATTTTTAGAGTAAAAGTAAGATTGGATATGTGAAGACGGAGATTATACAGAACTCTCCCAAAAAAGCAGAACAGCCGAGCATCGGGTCAGGGACCGCTCCGGCACTCAGTGAGGATGAGGAGGCGGAGGTCCGTTTCCCCGTCCAGGAGCCGGCCACCCGCCAACGTCCCGAGGAGAAACTGAGTGAGGCTGCAGACGGGGTGAGCTGCGGGGAGCAACAGGTGACCTGACACGGCAGGATTCTGACAAAAGGCCGCAGAGGAAGAAAAGCGAGAGGGTAGGTGTGCGCTGGGAATGCTTTCACAGAATCATCGTGGAGAGTGTCTGGGGTCTCCCACGGACCACCTGCTCCTCCCTTGATCTTGGCTGTCCTGGTGTGACTTATTGGTGGCAGACACCTGTTCCTTCACTCTTCCTTCCTGTCCGTACATTGCTCTTGGGCGTAGGGCAGAACCCAGGGTCTCTGGCTGCTTCGGCCCGTCCACCTTGATCCTCCTCTCTCTCTCTAAGGAAGGAGGCACAGAGAGGCACAGATGTGGACGACACACTCTTGACTGTCTCGGTCATCAAAACAGTCCAAAGTAGCCGGCTCAAAAGGTCTCCTCCTCCAGGAGAAAAAGAACAAAGCAGAAGGCCAGTCTTAGGGATCCACAGGGACCTCAGGACATCTCCAAGATAGTCACTGTCCTGTGCCCAGTACAGCACATTCTCTGCCCATGTCAGGCGGCTCATAGAAGTTCTCCGTGCTGTCATTATACAAAGGCCAGCAGAGGGTTTCAAAGTAGCCGGCTCAAAAGGTCTCCTCCTCCAGGAGAAAAAGAACAAAGCAGAAGGCCAGTCTTAGGGATCCACAGGGACCTCAGGACATCTCCAAGATAGTCACTGTCCTGTGCCCAGTACAGCACATTCTCTGCCCATGTCAGGCGGCTCATAGAAGTTCTCCGTGCTGTCATTATACAAAGGCCAGCAGAGGGTTTCAGCCTTTAGGTCCACCCCTTCTGCTTCTCAGGTTGAGGGGGCGCGG